AAAAATAAAACTCAGTGATTTAAATCACTTTTTAAAAAAGTATTCTGTTTTTACATCTTTAAACATTCAGAATTCCTTTCCTTGGTTTTATAAAACAGATGATATAAGGTTTAGTAGACTAAAATAATCATGCTTAAAAGTCTGCTTTCCCCCGTCACTGAAAGTAGTAAAATAATACTGTATATATTCAATTTACTTTTTTTTCATAATTGAAATTAGCATTTTCTTTTTCTTTTTAGACAAACACAAGCGCGTGCACACACACACACTGTAATAAAATGCAAGTTTATCTATGCATAATTACCCCCCCCCCCTTTTTTTTCCCTTTTAGACTGACATGTTCTTCAGTTTTTGTCTGTAGCCATAATTCACTGATATATAATAATAATAATAATAGATAGCATTTGTATAGCGCATATCCCCGCTCAACAGCAGGCTCTATGCGCTTTACACTATATTATTACCCCAGCAGACCATAGAACACTCCGAAACATTCTCAGCTTCCCGGGAAGCATACAGTGCGAGCAGCCGATTAAGCGCTCAAACACTAACAATCTGACAAGATCTTTCGCTGTCTATAGCCGGGTACCCATTCCCACCTGGGTGAAGTGAGGAAAATTCGTGTAAAGTGCCTTTCCCAAGGACACAACGTCGGGCCCCTGACGGGATTCGAACCCACGACCTTACGGTTACGAGTCCGAGAGCCTAACCACTAGGCCACCGACGCAGTATAAGGCTTTCTAAAATTGCAGTTGCTTAAATTAATCATTAGTTAAAATAAAGACAATGCATTTTGCACTAAAAGTAAAAGAACTTACTTTTAGCCACAAAAAATCCCAAACTGTGTCGACATTTTTTTTAATCAAAAAAAATCAAAAAAATCCGATTTAAATTTTTAAAAATCTTGGTTTAAATTTAAAAAATCGATTTTTTACATTTGTATTTTAAAAATTAAAAAAATCACCAACCCTGATTATACACGTGAGAATGTGTGAGTCATTGGGCGAACTGCGAATGAAACAGAGAGGGGATGAATATGTCTGACATTCAGCAAGCCAAATTACACGTTACTGCGTAATGTCAGTTTCACATCTGCAACAATTATTATTTTATGAACAAAAATTTGTTTTTGTGTGTTCTTTTTGCCAGCGTGCAAAATGAGTCATTCGGTCATTTTCACAAGTACATGGATATACTTTTCTCCATGCTTTAGAAGAAAAATAGGCTTATACCCTGCACTGATATAAACAACTTTCAGAAATTTTGACTTGACAGGATGATAGACTTTCAAGCATCGTACAAATCAACCGAAAATTTTTTTTAATGTAAAGTCATTTTAAAATGATTTTGTTGCTTTACAGATTCAGATTCATAAGCCTGAAGATTCTTATAGAGTCTTTGTACGCCTCAACATTGTCATTGACTTCATGAAGACTGAATAAATGAGTATATGAATTCTCATAGCATCATTGTGTCAGTGTTCAAACTCGTGGGGTTTTTTGTTTTTGTTTTATTTTGTTTTTTGTCTTTTGTGGGGGGGGGTTTTGTTTGTTTGTTTTTTTGCTTGATTTGCCCTCGGTCTGAAATTTTTATAAGACCTGTGAAAGGATTTGAAACTTGATACGTTTTTTGTAGTCCTATTATAATGATTTTAATTGCTCTTTTGGAAAAAATGTATTTTAAAGCTTTTTGGTCCCTAATATGAAAGAACAAGAAAAACTAAAGGGTTGAAGACATACCTTGTGACATTGTGACAAGCATTCCTCTTTGTGTAGGGTCAGAAGTCACTTCTCGTTCACCGGCGATACCATTCCAAAGTTTACACCACAAAGCACCGACGCCGAAAGGGTAGAAATGAATGTCAAGATCCGGGTTTTTCCATTTTTTTGTTTGTTTGTCGTTTGTTTGTTGTTTTTTTTTTGGGGGGGTTGTTTTTTGTATTTTGTTTTTGTATGTTCGTTCGTTTTTCTTTTGATTCTTTGAAATTTGCCTCTCCCCCCAACCGATTGCCCAAAGTCAGTGGAACTTGTTTACCAATCACTAAAATATGAAAGGAATAAGTTATCTCTCTTCGATCTGCCACTGAGACTTGAGATGGCGAAGTTTCTTTAGAGTTTCCTCAAGGCGACTTTAAAACTCTAATTCCCCCCTTTTTTTTAACCAGGGCCTAAAAATAACAGCATTTTCATAGTCCGTGCATCAAATTTAGTCGGATTCACTCGAGGAGCGAAATTTGATGCTAAATTACTAACAAAGTTATGTTTTATCTTAATTGTACCCTTCTGCATTAGCCAACTCATTGTATTGTGATTGCTTGCAACACACTACATCACTGTAGATATACGTATTGCTTGAAATCTGCAAGAAAAGGGTGGGGAAGTGAAATTGCCGGGGAGGGAGCTAATTGGCGAAAAGCGTTCGATCTAAACTGGTCGACTTGTATGTGAAAGATTGTCAAGCAACCGTCGAGTGGATGTGCCGTGCACCGTGTTTAGCTTTGCTGGCGGTACAACGGGGTAAATTTACAATAATTTAATACAGACCGTGCAACCAAGACAATTGGCGAATGATGGTGTAAGGGCGCAAATAATATGTTTATATAAGGAATTCTGTTTGTAAATTGGCAAAACCTGGAGGGCTGTAAGCAGGGGCTGGCGGTACAATTAG